TGCCGCGGGAAGGAGCTACGCGCCCGGTCCCCGGCCTGGCTTTGAGGAAGGGGGAAGGCCTTTCGGGCGGACCTCTGTGAGGACTTTTCCGTGGTTGTCCCCCGTCCTCAGAAGCAAGTTAATACTGCAGCTCCTAGGCGTGGGTTTCTGAGCCCTGCCGGCCCCCAGCCTCCTCAGCCCGGGAAGCGCAACGCAGGGTGCAGTGGGGACACAAGATGGAGATGGGGTGTTGTGTCCTAAAGGACCCAGGGGAGGCTGAGCTGACTCCTCGACCCGCTTGCTTAGCGCTTGTCATGTGCTCCAATGGCTCCTGAGCGCCTGGGGTGCTCTGCCACCCTCTTGGGCTTGCCTGGGACCTCTCTTCCAGGTGGCTCCCTAGGGCTTCAGCTGTGGCCGGAGAAGGACAGCCTGCCAGTGCCACCCCGGTGGCCGTGCTCACCATGCTGGGAGCATCCTCGCTGCCGGGGCGTAGCATAGCACAAGGGCCGAGGAGGTATGGCAGCTCCAGTTGCTCTGCACCAGGGGCTCCCCCCACACCTGAGGGGGGCACGGTTGTTCTCAGAGCTGCTCGGTGTGAGGGCACAGCGGTACGCTTTCCCCGAGGGGCCGCAGGGCCTTGTGGAAGCTGCTACCACTACTGCAGCATCTGCACCGGGACTCTCAAGGGTTCAGAAACTAAATGAGAGCTGTGTTATGTACTGCTCCTTCCAATCCACAAGGCCTCAAATTCATGCTTTATTCCTTAATTCTTCACAGCTAAACTCCAGCTTAGAATTACACTCTGGTAAATTAACTCCCATGCTTAGACTTTGGCCTACTTTGTATTTCAGCATCTGCAGCTGGACTTTTCTACTGACGTGGAACAAAACGTAAGCCATATTCTTGTATCAAGGCAGAGGCAGTTACAGCTTTCCTGTAGTTCCAAATAGATTACTCTGAATTATTTTAATATAAATAATTTATTTACTTGCTTCTACTATTTTTAAATACCTAAGCAAAAAACACCATTCATTTAAGAAACAAGATTGCAATAATTATAAAGGCAGATAGATACATTCTCGAATGATTTTTTCACCTACTACCAACAATGTATACAGAAATACTTTATCGGCCACTGACTAGATTCAGTACACCAGACTGCCACCTTCTTGTTTGGGACGATCAGCCCATCCGACACCTTCCCCTGCCCCACCGCAAGTCTCCTTTTCTGGTAAAGAAAACATGCAGAAAATTATGTCCTCAAAAGTAGTACATCAGTGCCGTTTGAGCACGTGAAAAAGATAAAGCGCTCTGGATGTAACCAATGTTTTAACCCTTTTCCTCTGTGTTTGACTGTCAGCTCTATTCATGGTACAAACTATTATTTATAATTTATTATTTTTTCACACAAATGAAAAGATTGGGATGATTTAGTATCTGAGATAAATATGTTGACAAGCAAAAAGTAAAAAAGCTGTCCTTTATCCTTTTGGGCACAAGGGAAAAAGGCCTTTCCAGAGAATTTTCTGAGTCTAGTGACAGAGCACTATTGATTGTTTAGATACTTGTTTGCATTTCCATTTTTAGCATCCATTAGTATCATGGTTTTACAATTCCTTTCACAATTCCAAGTTGAGTCCTGCTAGAAGCAAATTCTGAAACGCTTTAACTGAGTTTGTCTACTATTTGCTTATCATCAGCATCCAACTAGAAAAGGCAGTACAGCAGTCCTGAGAATAGAGGATGTAAGCCATCAGAAACAGTTATGACATAGATAGTAAAAATAAAATGTTAAAGCACAATTAAAAAAAAAAAACCCCTAAAGCTACAGAATAGAGTACACATGCAGAATAAGTAGGGATTGCTGATTTTTTTTTTTTTTTTGCAAGTTTAACTTGTGTATCAAATCAAACGCTCAGCTGGAATGAGTTCAGGAATTTAATGAATATAATGTTTAGAATTGGAAATGCCTCTTCTCAGTCAAGTAGATAACCAAGAACTCAGATTTCTTCTAATTTGAAGCATTGATGGGAGACTTATGTATATAATAACAAAGAAAACTAACAAGGAATGAGCCAGAACTGTCCTTTTCAACAGAAAAGGGAGTCAAGCAGCAGAAGACAGGATTCTTTGCAAATTATAAAAACATGAGAGTCTTCCTCTCATGTTTCCTACAAAAGTACTGATGCTCACCCAAGTGGCCTCTGCTCTGTCTCTTAAATTTCGATTTATTCTTTTTTTTTGAGGGTGTGGTTCTGCATCAATTGCACTCAATGTCATCAAGGAAACAGACTCAGGGAGAGGAGGAATCCTCCTTTTCTCCTTGTTTGAGTGTAGCACTGCTGTTCCCAATTCACAGGTAATTGCAAAACTCTGCAGGATTTCTGAAACAGATCTGACTCAATGAAACAAGCTCTCCAGAGGTAGGCTTTAGCTCAGGGTCTCTGTCTGACTTCAGAAAGATTGTACTTTAAAAAAAAAAAACAAAAAACATAAAAACAATTAGAGAACTGATCTGGTTTTACAGCACAGCCCACAAGCACTGAATCGACACAATTTCTGAGGCAGTAACTTCCTGCCGTTCTTCACCCACTGCAACAAACACCCCTGGGCACAGGGAAACTCTTAAATCAGCTTTGCCACTAGATCTGTAAAACCACCTGCCAGCTTTTACAGAGAATAATAATCCTCACTCAAAACACTATAAACGGTAAAGTTTCCTTAACAGACTCAAAACTAAGTTGCAATAAGGTTTAATTGACCCAATCTATGTCAGTTGTTTCCTCAAGATTTTTAAAATGTGTCTTCAGTTTGTTCCTTTTAGTAGATAACGCAATGAGTTAGGAAACATGTAATCAGTTTTTTGAATGCAAACCAGTCAAGGAATTTTCTTTAAGTAGTCTTTGGCTTCACCCACTGCCAATTCTTGACACTTCATCTCAAAACCAAATGAAATTATCTTATTTTCTACTTGGTTTGTGTGTGCGCTTTGAAGAGTTTAGGTTTTGCCTCTTTTCATATGTATTATTACATATTTCTGCATTTCCCTTGGAAGTCCTCACTACTGTTACCAGAAATGTTGAAAATATATATGCCTTTCCTTGACCTTTATAACTAATAGGCAAGTGGGTTTTGCTTGGTATTTCTCTGTTATTTCATTTTGAATCACACATTAAATTACACTTCATTCAGAGGATGTCCTATTAATTCAATTACCTAATTTTTCATTTGTTGTTCCATTGTTGACTCTCTTTATGGGAAGACTTTTTCTGGATTTTATTTTTCCTGGTAGGAATGCCTCAACAGGCCAGACAACTAGCCGTCCTCATTTGTAAAAGTTACAGGAAGAAAAAACATTGGCAGCAGTAAGTGGAAGATTTTCATTGCTTTTACATCTTAAGGGACATGGTCTTAAACTTCAAAACAAAGTAAGTAACACTGGAAATGTTACATCATCAAGCCCTTTTGTATGACTTAACGAGATACTTTATACTGAACTTGAAAATCATTGAGCACGATGCTAATTCCACTATTATATATATAGAATTATGTATAAAAAACCCTCTATTATATCTATGCAGAAATACCTCAGTGTAAAGCTGACCAACGCTAGTGCTAGTAAGCATGAACACATGAAATTCCCTTTGAAATTCAAATGGTATGTATTCCCACATCATTTAATTGCTTTTGGTTTTTGTTTTATTGTTTTATTTATTATTGGAATCACAGTTAAGACACGGGCTTCTTGTTTTCTAAGGATTCTTCTAAAAGCATTCTTTGTATGTATTATCTATACATTACAAGGCAAGAATACTTCCAAAACACCTTAAAGCTGCACCCAAATACCAGCAGTATTTAAAACACTCATATGCATCAAAGAAGCACTCTTTGGTAGCAGTAACTCACCAGACAGTAGTTTACTTTTACGGATAAGAGTGAGCAAAATATTAATGTAGAAGTGTTAAAAAAATATTAATTTCAGGAGCTGGGATGATGAGGAAGAAGCAAAATAATTTGACGAGTAAGATATCAAGTACTTATAAAACTCAAGTTTAGTTACTGGTTTTCTGACAGACTTTTAAGGTATTCACAAGCTCAAT